TCTTTCAAGCCTTCAGCATCTACTACTAGTCCACAGCGATAGGTCACACCCGTGTTCCTAAAAACTCCATGGGAACAGCACATTACCAACTGCGAAGCATCTTTTGGATTACCTGTAAAGCAAGTTTGTCCATGATTTTTATTGCAACTTTTTCACCAGTGAGACGATGCCGTGCAAGTTTTACCTTTGCAAATCCACCTAGAATTTGAAACAGAGATGTGTAAAGCTTTGCACGGTGACAAGCTTTCTCATGCATAATTGTTGGGAATTATCTATTTTAAACATAGCTGTGTGACGCTCGTGGCAAGCGTAGGGCTGCCCTACTTTGGAGATATCAGCCAGCTGCAGCAAAAACGGGTGTTACAACAGGCAGATGGGCTAATCTCCTGCCCCCCTTTTGAAGTTCGGACCCCCCTGGCTGATGTAAGACCTTCAGATAGTTGCAATGTACACCCCTTATCAGGATTTGTGTTTAAAGTGACCAATGAGAAGTGATTACTTGGAATATTCATGAAGTTCATTAGAGTAGTTATAAAAAGCATGTTCAATTTTAATAAAGTCGAGTTCAGCGGATCATGTCTTAGTGGTCAGTATGCTGTTTCTCCCGGCGCTTTCCCGAACAAATGGTCTGCCCTCATCACATAATCTCAGTCACCTTGAAGCAAATACCATATTCACAGCATGTAGCGTCTTGGCTAAAGGAAGAAGCAATTGCTGCCACAACCTTCTACATTTCCACAGTTTCGCCCCACAAAATACACCGTGGAAACAGGACACACAGACTCTGAAGTAACAGTTAATCTCTCAGATAAATTCCAAGGCGAGCGGACAAATCACATACACTCGTCTGCATCCACAGACTGAGCCCACCTGTGCCGACTGTTCCGTGTATTTCATGGTACCTGAGAATTTCCTCATAGTCACCTCCGGCCATTCTGTGACCCGCCGGACGTGGGCAGCTCTTCTCAGCACCTGCAAGGGGAGAGCGCAGGTCGCACTCATGCTTTCGGGCACAAGAAGAGACCCAGCTGCAGCCCCCGGGGATGGAGGAGGGTCTGCTGTTCTCACCGGCCCGTCACGGCTGCCCGGCGGACAGGAGCGGCAAAGCCGCGATCCCGAGTTGCAGTGGCCAGAAGACCCTCGAATCCCACCCCATCCCCTGCGGTGCCGCCGTTGGGTGACCCCCGAGTCTCACCCAGTTCCTTGAGGTGCTGCCACCAGAAGCCACTCAAATTCCACCCTGTCCCGGGGCAATGATCCCACAGCGGAACAGTCTATAGAATCTGTTACCGTACAAATGTCCTCCTTCCGGCCGCCGGGATCGAGAAGCCAATTTCCACGCATCCTCAAACCGGAACGGGTGGAGAGGGGATCGGCATCCTGGGAAGAAGGAACACAGTGAATAGGCGCCGCCACAGGGGGAAGGACGTTGCCGGCTGGCTTCTAACAGGGGTGGCCTCAGGAGGCCAGGGACTACAGAGACATAAAACAGTGCCTGCCTCTCCCGGGAAACGCTTACCCAAGCACAGAAAGCAACACTTTTGCAAAGAGCCTTTCCCCTTGTTCCCCACGCACGACCGCTTGCAGGCAAGCAAGATGCAGCAAGTTAGAGTGTTTACAAAAAAGGAACTCTCATGGAAATACTTTCTGTAAGGTGCTTCCACCGCATACTGCCTTGCGGCTTAAAAGGCGTGAAGAAGTGGGTCTCGCACTGAAAGCAACACTTTTGCAAAGTGTTGCCGTTAGTTGAGCTTCTAATGGCGCGATGACCTGGTTCGCGGCGCGGCACGGCAGTCACCCGTTGACCACTCGGACCATTGAACACTTGCATCAATATGATGGATGTCAAATGGCGTTTATTGATACATGACACGCTATTRTATAGTGTGAGATTTGCGATGTCACTTGCGCCCAGCAACAGTATATTAAACATAATTGGCTATAGTGAGAGGGGTCTTATCTGCGCGTACATCGCGAGATCTTCTGCACGATAAGCCCTGACTGTCACATCTCCCCCCTGCCTATGCCTAATTAAATAAGCTAGAATATATAAAACTTATAAAATGTATAAAACTCTATAAAACTCCATAAAACTTTATAAAACTTGATAAACTTTGTAAAACAAGTTAAGAACATATTATAATTTTGCAACAACAAACATAAGGCACAGTGAACATGTGGTAACTGGGGGGTATTCAGGGTGT